ATCCAAAAGAACAGGCGTTGATGGCCCTTTTTAACCACCGTTGTGAAACTCAATGATTGTCCCGAGGTATTTGTACTTCAAACTTCAAACTAAAGAAATGAACTATATATTTTTGTAAAAAGGGATTTTTAAACAACATTTTTAAAGGACATTGAATTGTGTTTTGTCTGTGGAGGAAAAAGATGCGTTTTCAGCCATATCTTTAAAGGAGTAGTTCACTTTTGAAAAAACTTTTGCTGATAATTTACTCGCCCCCATGTCATCCAAGAAGTCCATGTCTTTCTTTCTTCAGTCGATTTTCTCCATATAATGGACTTCAATGGGGTCCAAAAGACAGTTTCAGTGCAAACTGTTCAAAGGGCTTTAAACGACACCAGACGATGAATAAGGGTCTTATCAAGCGAAACGAGCGGACATTTAAGAAATAAATACAAAAGTTTAAGTTTTATAAGCACAAATGCTCGCCTTGTTCTGTTCTCTGATGCGCGTTCGTGACTCTCCTGTTCATCAAAATGAACGAATCTTTTTTTCGAGTCATTTGGTTCATTCAACAAACGAAATGAGCAAAATGACTCGAAAAAAGTTGATGGACGAGTTCGAATAGGACGTGGACATCATGGGGGTGAGTAAACTATCAGCAAGTGTTTTTAAAAGTGAACTACTCCTTTCGAGTCCTGCCATGTTTGTTTGGTTGGCCACATCAGCTATAATCATGATTTTTTCTGCTAGGTTACTGTGTGTAGGGTGTTCACATTTGACACTGCACCCTTAAAAGTACTCTCTTCGAGTGTTCTGCCCTCCACAGTGAGCAGGGCACAGTCCTCGACGCTCACTTTCAAGGGGATTTGGCCTTTTATCCCTGAGCTTTTAGATCGCTCCACATCTGAAGAGAGTCATTAAAAGCACACCTGCGTCTGGAGGACGCCCATGAGAAGCCTGCGTGTTTTTATCCTGATTAATCCAGGGGTGTGTGTTTTGATCTGACACCTTGTTTGAGGGTGTTTATGCATGTGGATCCCACATAGAGATGGAAATTAATTCTGCACACACACACACACTCGCGTATTTCTCTTCTAATGCGCTCTGAGGTAAATGCATCAAACAACAAGTGTGGCGTGTAATTAGTCTCGCACGGTTTGTGCTGTGAACACACGCGTGTTGTCTCGCGTCATGTGGCTTTGGCTGGTTCTGGGCAATCACACGTGCAGTTTTTGCAGTAAAATAATCCCCTTTCGATGATCTCATTGCTATTTCTGCCACCTGGCGATAATAATAATAAACTTTATTTTATATTGCGCCTTTAAAAGTTGCATCTCAAGATGTACGGAAAAAATACATTGAGATAAAAAAATATCATATCACAGAAATGCTAGCCGGAACAAAAAATGCTAGACGTTTTACACCAAAGGATAGGGCTGTCAAACGATTAATCGCGATTAATCGCATCCAAAATAAAAGTTTGTGTTTACATAATATATGTGTGTGCACTGTGTATCATTATTTTATATATATATATAAATACACACACATGCTTGTATATATTTAAGAAATATTTTCATGTATATAGATTTATTTAATTTATATAATTTATAATATTTTATATATAAATAATATTTTTTTCTTAATATACATGCATGTGTGTGTATTTATATATATAAAATAATTATACACAGTGCACACACATATATTATGTAAACACAAACTTTTATTTTGGATGCGATTAATCGCGATGAATCGTTTGACAGCCCTAATATAAATAATTATTTGTGTACTATTTATAATAATTTATGTATTTTTTTACTTTTTATTTCTTTATGTATTTTTGATTTTATTAACTTTCATCACATATTTATTCATTTTCTTTTATAAATTCTTTTAGCTTGTTCGATTGACCGTTTGTTTGTTCATTAATTCATTAACTTGCTCGTTCATCCATCATGTGTTTTTAATTTTTTTGATCAAAATTCAGATACAAAAAAGCAACCATGGCAAGACTTTAGCTTGGGTTCATGTTTCTCACGATAACCTGCGTGACACCAGGTCAAAGTGCTCTGCTGTGGGGTCAAAGGTCATATTGTTCTTTGTTGTTAGTGGGAACAACAGATCAGCAACTCTGCGTCTGAATAAGTCAGAAAGACGGGGTGAATGAATAAATAAATAGACTTGAGCATGTTTATTGAGTTGATGTGAGTTTGCGTGTATGTGTGTGTGTGTGTGTGTGTTTTTTCAGAGCAGACATTTTTAAATCTGGCAACCCAAACCACCGCTCTTTCATGCACATCACACACACTGATGTTGTTATTTGTGTGCATTTCACACACCTTCAGTGTCAGACTGAAGTGCATGCGGAGCAACGTCCCGTCAGACCGAGTGAAGCGCCGGCAGAACTCAAAGATCAATGAGAAACTAGTGTCCGCCTCATAATACACACACACACACACACACACACCATCTGATGATCCTACACACAACTAAGTCTTACTCTCAGTCTGAGTGGCTGGATTTGCAGTTTCCCGGAGTAAGGATATAAGGTGTGTGTGTGAGTGTGTGATCAGTATACATACAGAAACATAACATTTTTTGAATGTAATTAAAATAATTAATTGGTTTGAGTAGGAAAAACTTAAATTCAATGAATTAGTTAAATTAATTTGTATTTCTTTCAAGTTCACAGAACTGCTATATTTTAAGTAAACTGAACTGTTTCATTGTTTTGAGTTTTATGAAATCATTTATTTTAATTTAGACGAACTTAAGTTTAACTGAAACGGCTGGGATATCTATTTCCCAGCATGCTTTGCCGATGGCACTCGAAAGAGAGTGTAAATGCTAAAATTAAGTGCAATATAATGTTTTTTTCTGTAAAATTAATGTTAAGTGTGAGATTTAGTAGTGATTAATGTTATGTTATGCTAATTTAGAAGAATTTCTGTTAATGTTGGCTTTAGGATAGTTACCATCATGGTGACAAGTGGTGCATTCAGCTTGATTTGAGAGCAAATCATCCCTTTATGTTATTACACTCATATAACAAGTGCTTCTGTGCTTGTAAGTGCTTATAACATACTGTTTCTAATATGTTAGCATTTACTACGTCAGCAGATTAGCTTTTAAAGCTAACTAAGTTTATACTATTAAAAGTGATTTGAGTTCTGCCAACTTTTACAATGTACTTCATAGATTTAAGTTATAGTAACTGATTAGTACTATTAACTTTATTTACCCAAGTTATCTTAACAATAAGTTATCGAGTTACTTGGAAACAAATCAAATATTTTTTAATACTTAATTTGTTTGAGTTGATAAACTTAAATGATTTACGAACTCATCAGGTTTTACAGTATACTTAAACTCATGACTGCAAAATCATTTTCTATTGGATTGTGAAAGAATTTGGTTCAGATGAGAAATGTTAAATGTAGTTCGTGCTGTCACTCATGAGTGTGAGTATTTTTCTTTTGTACGCATCAGTAATTTTGAGTGTTTATTAACATGATGACGCTCTCAAAGCATGTTGAACTCAACGCATTCATGACCCCAACACGAGCGGGTCCTCCTCCGTCTCTGCAGGTTACAGCAGGTCTCGAGTCTTTGACGTTTTTCCTGCTTCGTCATTCGTTCTCACGGCACAATCGACGTGCCGTTGCCAAGTCCTGGTTGCCATGGTAACACGTGTTGGATTAAAGTGTTTAGTGCAGATGTAGTTTTCTCTCTGATGGAGCTTATTTACAGTGAAGAGGAACAGAGACACAGTGGCAATAGAAATGATGAGATTGTCCTCCTCCTCGGGAGATTGCAGAAGTCCCCCGCCTGTTTTGCTCTAATCACATTTAATGTGACTGATGCAGTGTGCTGCGCGAGCCAGCGTCTCCAGATACAAGATACTCGTCATTTAACATAAGTCATGCTGCCCTTTAAACTACACTTCAGCTTACACACACTGCATCGAAGCTGTGTAAGAGGACAGTGTGCTGCATGTTAAAGCAGATCAAAATTGGATTATAATATAATTTAAAGGGATAGTTCACTTTGAAATTAATTTTTGATATGTTTTGATATGTGTTTGTTTCCACAATATTTTCAATTTTGATATTTTTAGGTCAAACCGTTCTTGTCTGTCAGTCATATAATGGAGGTGTATGGTCACCACATCAAAGAGCATGCACAGAGAAGTCCAAATTAAAATAATATTATAATATAATTAATAATATAATTAAAATAATAATAATATTAAAATAATAAAATATTAATAATATAAAATATAAAAAAATAATATTAATATTTTATATATATAAAATATTAATAATATAATATATTAATAATAATAATATTAAAATAATAGTATAATTAAAATAATGTTTTTAAGTCAAACCGTTCTTGTCTGTCAGTCATATAATGGAGGACTATGGTCACCACCTCAAAGTGCATGCACAGAGAAGTCCAAATTAAAATAATATTATAATATAATTAATAATATAATTAAAATAATAATAATATTAAAATAATAAAATATTAATAATATAAAATATTAAAACATAATATTGATATTTTATATATATTTTAAAAATATTTTATATATATATATAAAATATTAATAATATAATAATATAATATATTAATAATAATAATATTAAAATGATAATATAATTAAAATAATATTTTTAGGTCAAACTGTTCTTTTCTGTCAGCCATATAATGCAGGTCTATGGTCACCACCTCAAAGAGCATGCACAGAGAAGTCCAAATTAAACATGATTTAATGACTCGTAAATGTAAGTACACATTGATGGCCTAAGACACGAAACGAGCGGTTTGTGTGAGAAAACCAACAGTATTTATATCGTTTTTACCTCTTGTAACCACAGATCTGAGGGTGCGGGCGCTTCGCTCTGCGCATGTGCCGGAAATGATCTTACATTTTATTATTTATAGATTCTTACATTGAACTTGTTTATATCCGTGGCCTCAGATGAGCCTAAACCAGAACCTCTCTCTTTCAGGGGAACCGTGGAGGCTCGGTTCGTCTACGTCTTCGTCCTCGGCATCTTGTTCACGGGCGTGAAGGACCTGTTGCGCTCGCAGCTGATGTCATCAGCGGGGGACAGTGGGCGGCTGAAGAGCAGGGGATTGTGGGAAGTGTACAGTGGCGTGGTGTTACTGGTGGCTCTGCTCTTCAGGGCTCATAACTTGCCCACGCTGGCCTGCTGTCTGCTCATCCAGACCATCATGGCCCAGTTCATCTGGAGGAAGATGCACTACGACGCCGCTCAGACCACCATCATGCACTACTGGTTCGGCCAGGCGTTCTTCTACTTCCAGGTAATGAGGAGACGAAAAGATCTAGTAGAGCTCTAGTTCGTATGTTTTGCTTGTAATATGCATGATAGTAAGCAACTAGTTAACAGGGCCGGATTAAGAATTCAGAGTGTGTGTGTGTGTGTGTGTGAGAGAGAGAGTGTTTAAGAGAGTGTGGGAGTAAGTGTTTAAGTGTGTGTGTGTGTGTAAGCAAGTAAGGCTCATAAATGGTGCTTTATTGGCCAATTATCATTTAACGCACCAGAGGATGGAATTATGAGCTTGACAATGACATCATCATCAGAGGGACAGTCAGGGTCAGTGTAACTGAAGTGTTGAAGGACGGGTATATTCTTCTCTCTCTCTCTCTCTCTCTCTCTCTGTAGTCATTAGGCAGGAGGAAGTCATCGTTAATTGTAAATTGTCACATTGATTTTCAGGCCAGGTTTTTTTCCCGCCCACACTGACATGGCAAACGAGCATGAAATAATGGGAGTGAGAGAGGGGAGAGGGGAGGATTTTCCCACAGACCGTTCCTGGCGTGACACACACGACACACACACTCTTGTGAGCCGCTGACAGGGAAGAACAGGATCTGTTGGTTTATTTCTTCATCCATCCGTCAGCCGAAACCCTCACAGTCTATCAGCACTTCCCTAACCACACCTGAAAGTGTGTCAGTGAGTGAGTGAGTCAGTTAGTCAGTCAGTGAGTCGGTCAGTGAATCGGTCAGTGAGTCGATGAGTCAGTGAGTGAGTCGGTCAGCGAGTCGGTCGGTGAGTGAGTCGGTGAGTGGGTGAGTGAGTCAGTCAGTGAGTCGGTCAGTGAGTCGATGAGTCAGTGAGTGAGTCGGTCAGCGAGTCGGTCGGTGAGTGAGTCGGTGAGTGGGTGAGTGAGTCGGTCAGTGAATCGGTCAGTGAGTCGATGAGTCAGTGAGTGAGTCGGTCAGCGAGTCGGTCGGTGAGTGAGTCGGTGAGTGGATGAGTGAGTCAGTCAGTGAGTCGTT